CACCTGAATCGAAGCCAGTGGACAATCAGGAATATCGAGAGTGGCAGATGTCTTCGCAGGAACGGCGTAAAACGGAGAAATCTCAAGTCAGGAGCAATGACTCAGTTTCATGGCCCTGCCGAACGATCTACAGAGATCATCAGGCTGAAGAAGATGCTAGAAGAATGGCAAAGCTCTTCGACGATTTATCGTTCCAAAAGGTCATGCCGAAGACCTCAAGAACTATCGACCGTTCACTCTCCTGTCACACGTTTACAAGGTCTTAACCCTAATCACTATCAACCGAATCCCAAAAGACCTGGAACTAGCCATTAGTGAAGAACAAGCCGGTTGCTGAGAAGGGTTTTCTACCATAGACTACATTCATGTGGTGAAGTAGTGAACAGAGAAATGAACGCAGCACCCATTACTCTCTGTTATAGATTTCAGGAAAGTTATATGGCTGTATGTTCCATCGAACTGAGCGTTACGTTTCACGCCTTCGACGACCGGCTGAAGAGACTCTATGCACTGAACCTAATCGAATACCTGAGTACTGACACCGCAACCGGCATAAAGCTGTTCGAGAAACCGTGTCGAATTAAGGTCAAAAGATGAGTGAGCCAATGGGACGTTTCTCCCAAAGATTTCGCTACAGCGTTGGAATCTTTCTCTTACCGTCTGAACTGGGGCGACGGCATTAGCATCGATGGAGAAGTGCTCTTTGGAAACGACTTCACCACTTTCGCCAAAGGTCGGACGGAACTACAAACAGTGATTTCCTTGCAGTTACAAAATGAGGCACGCGCAATCGTCCTGAAGATGAACACCTGAATACGAAATGGATGTTCACTGAGCACTGCCCTGAGCGTATCATCTTCACCGAAGTGGAAGAGGTCGCATGCCGCTTATCCCTCTGCCTTCCAACAGAATAAAATAACATCAGCAACAAGTGATGAGATCAGCAGAAAGGGAAGACGGCATGATTAAATTTAAAATCACATCAAGGCATCACTGCTGGATAATCAACTGCCAATGTCCTAGAAGAAGTACTGCTTGATCCCGCCGTCCAACCTAACATGATTTATGGTGCAGAGCGCTGGTCTACCACCAAGATTGTGAAAAATACTAGTATTAACGTGAATAATGAAGAAAAGCACTACATGTAAGGCCCCCCTTTTAAGACCATGTTCTAAGTGCGACAGTTTAGCATCAAACACGAATTTTTGATGTTTACTGTTGCGTACAAATCAAAAGGTCTATTGGCTGACCATGCGGCTTGTTTGAAGGACAGCAGGTGTGGACATCCAGAGTTACCAACCCGATTCACCTCGGCAACAGACATCCACCGGCACGCTGGGATGACCCAGTGACGAAGCTGTCTACTCAACGGGCACAATAGCGAGAAGAGTGACGGACGTCGAACCGTGTATGCTGCAGCCGTTGACGAAAAATAAAGTCAGATAGAGGAATAAAGGAAATTTATGAATGACGTTGTAACGACAGAAAATATGTTATGGAAGATATAAGGGATATCGTCAGTTACAGAAGAAATGCCCTAATATCAGGCTGAAAAAGATTGATGATCTTGGCCAAGCCTGGGCGACGCGAGATGATGAAGTATCCACGAAAAGACAGGGCCTCATTACCCGTGCCAGTAAAGACCTTAAATGTTAACTGCAATGGACATGCGACGTAGGAAAGTCGCAATCACCCTTGATGCTCACATCATCGTCAGATGCAAAAACGTGCGGAACAGATGCTTCGTAGAGACATGAGGCAAACACTCCTGCGAAAATAACAAATCAGACAATCGATACGAACTTGCGTGCTGAATGGCATAGCTTCAGCACGCTTGTCGTCAGAAAATAATCAACTAAGCAGCACTGACCGAAACTCGTTGTCCAACTCGTCACGGTCGTTTTTCAAACGCAATCACTTTGCCATGCAAGATACCGGCCACCTTATGCTCATCGTGAGGCCGAGGTTGGAACTTGGTCACTCATCTCGCCTCAGAGGCCTGTACATGATAAAGCAAATGCTTTCTTGTGCTCGTCACTCAGATGTTGTTTTGTTGATTATGATAATCACCTCGAGAAAATTACTCAGGCTGAGCGTCTCTGGTTTGTGATGGCTGCTGAATTCACAGCTTTTCTACGCTTTTGCCATAAGGCACCGGATGATGCATTGTATTATAAAAGATTACATTCCGCTTCTACCTTTTTCGTTCATGCCGCAGCTAGTCTCTTGGCCGGTGTGTAGTGTTTCGCTTCCACACGAGAATACCATAGACTGGAGGAGAGTAGTGCATGCTCTTCCAGTTTCTTTAGCACTGCCAAACTCCTTTTCTTAATCTCTCGAGCTTACCTGTACGCAGAAAAAAATGGTGAATCTTCAGGCGGTCCCGCCATTAAGCCCTCACAGAGGAGTAAGGATCCTGTGTATAAAATTGCTAGTTCTATTTCTAGGCACCTTCAAGTTAAAACAAATTTCGTTAAATACTACAGTAAAGCATAAATGCTGGTGCATGCATGCCGCGTTATACTCAGAGGAACCGCACTAGATCGATGGACTGAAAAAAGGCCTGATTGATGTATGCAAATCAGTCCTAATGCGAACGTCTTTCAGTACAGCTAGTCTTCAGCACGATAATTTCTTTGCCTTTAACGCTACATGACCATGTTCTTGCCCTCCTGTACGCGTATAAAAGTTAGACTAAGGAAAAATTGCATACCTTAATGCATGCCGACGATTCTGACATCTTTTTCACAGCTCTTCCGGCAGCCGAGCGATGGACACGCATGTAGAAGACGGTCGTCGCCGAGAGCACCAACACAACAGCAAGTTTGATTAGGAATTTCATCGTGGCCACGTCAGCATAAAGAAGCGTTCATCAGACCTCAGAGTGTGCGCATGAGGATTCGCCGCTGTGTCATACGCATCCCTGAAACAGGTCACTTGAAAGTCGTCCGAACGAAACTCCTTGATAATGAACAACTACGAAGGAGGCGGAATGAGTGCTCGAAACGAGGGCTACATTTGCATACTTGGAACAAGTCAACAAGAAGTGATTCGATGCGACCACGCCACACGGTGTATCTTCAAGGTGGCACTTGCTTTCAACGGTGATGACAGTGAAAATGTAAGGTAAGTTCTCTGAAAAGCTGGAAAACAGCCTATAGCTTTGTGATTCACTAGTAGGATTAATCATCCTTTGCTAGAGATGCAAAAAATTTATGATTGGTGATAAGGGTAC